AATAAATTAACTGCAAATATTGATAACCTTAATGATTACTAAAAACAGAAGGAAATAAGGTGAATCTGCGTGATTATGTTATAAAGTCCCTGATATAATTATTTCCTTTCCTTTAGCTTTAAGGTTACATTTTTTTCCCATCCCTTAGACTTGTGCTTGGTTTTTAAATATGAAAACAGCGAGAGACTGTCTCCAGGATGACTAGAATAAGCGTTTTCTCTTATGTCCACTAGATGGCAGGTGTAGGATTCTGAATACCTTACAAAAGCTACGTGTTAGCTGTTCTTATTTGCAGCACTAGATGACAAACCCTACTGAGTTCAAAGTAGGAAATTTTAGAAAGGAGTCTCACTCTTTCTTCTCCTCATTCTCTCACACGTAGCCTTAAAAAAAGAGAACAGGTAAAACTGGTAAAGGAGTATAAGGTTTCTAATAAAGCTTCCAGTTTCCGTCTACAATTGCAGAGTAAAACAACAGCCCTCTTGTGTATGTATTTTCTTTATTTAAAAAAATGTAAAACTAAAATCTAGCAGCAAACCTTTACATGACTAGCAAAGAATTTTTTGTAAAACATTAAAATTTTTTCTCTCCCCTTTGGTCCCATACACTCTGAAATGGTGTGCTGTTTCTGTGTACTCTCAATCCTTTTATTTTCTCCAAGTGGGAAGGTCCTGGGGATCCCTGTTGCATAAGTGGCAGTTAGAGATTACACTATAACTTGGAGATTAATTTCCTATTTCTTTTCTTTATGATAGGAGATAGTGGAGCATTAGGGAAATCTAAAAAGATTCTTTTTTTTCCTCACTCCATAGTTTTTATTACACCCCCCCCCCCTTGATTTGAAATGAGGTTGAAATAACTGTATTTTCTCCTTTGAACACATGTGTCTTTTCATGGAGGGGCCAAAGCTTTGGAAATGTAAAGGGTCAATCTTTGTAAAGAGGGGTTCATTGCGGAGAAGGGTGTGTTCTGCAAAGACAAACAGGTCTCACTGATAGTTGCCAAGGGCACCAAATACATCTTTGCATTACACCTTGATTGAGCATGCTCATATCGCCTCTTTTTTATTGCATGCACCATAAATGACTGTAAAAGTTTGCAAATTCTGCAGAGACCTTGACAATCAATACTTCAACAGGAAATCTACAAAGAGAGGGGGTGGGGAGGAGAGAACCAGTTTAGCAGTTTGCTTTTTTGGCAAAGGAACCTTATGTTGACATTGAAAATTATTGAATATTTGATGTTCACAACCGCAGCCAGATGCATAATACACGCAAAGCAGTTTCAATTTAAATGCTCACTCTAAAATCTTAGCTTTACATTTACATGACCAGGGTATATAGTTTGGGGACATTCCTGTGACCGTATCACATGGGCTTTTTCTGGGTGTTCCTAATCTGTCACTTGAGCATAAAGTGAAGACTAATTTTTATCTGTGTCCGTTGATGGCCAAGCAGGGTGCCTAGTCCTGGAGGCCATGCCTGCGGCTTTTTGAAAGTGTTTGTAAGCACCTGGCTCCCCAGAAGGGCCAGGCAAGAGTCCGGACGTTGCTTTTTAGGATCCACAGGGCGTTGGTGCTGGAGGGACACTAGTCAATCCCTCTTTCTTACTCTAGCTGCCTGTTCTACTGATTTGTTTGACCACGTTAAATTCAGTGCATTAAAGGTGGGTGCCCTTTGTGACAAGTACGACAAATCCGACAAAACAAGTAGCAGACGGGGTACTAAAGACAGGGGGTGAGGGGCAAACCTCGCTGGAGGCCCTGCGCAGGGTCAGAGAAGATGCGAGGGCTGGGTGTGACCCTTCCCAGAAGCCGGAGCCTGCAGCTTAACAGCCTGGCGATGTGTTGCCGCTTTGGGCTGCGCTCCCCAAAAGACTGCGCTGTACCTTGAAGAGACAGGGCAGTGACCCCAGGCAATAGAAAAAGGTCCCTGCATCCCCGGCCTGGTAGGCTTCAGGTGTATCTCTCCTCCACTCCCACCCCACCAGGCAGGCTCAGCCCTTCCCCACTCCTAGTCCCGGGAACCGGAATCCCAGCGTTTCCTTCTGATGCATAAAACATTCAGTGGCCTCCAGGGAGTTTTTGCAATTCTGGCGGAGGCTGCTTTACTCATTGTTTCGCCCTGAGGGTCAAACACAGGCCCAACGGTTGGCTGAGTTGGGGACGCACTTCACGCAGCTCCAAAATGAGGTCCCTGCGGCCTCTTCCCAACTGAGGTCCTGTACAAACAAGTGGCTCGGAAGGGGCCACTGGGCTTTACCCAAATCCAGAAAGGTCAGGCAGGTAGAGAACTGTACGAGTTTTTTCTTTTCTGCTGCGTGTAAAGGTGCGTGAGGGTGGGCGGTAGTCCCCATGAATTGCACCAGCGCCCAGTCGTGGCGGGATCCATTGTACGTGCGACAGCGACACCGAGGATCACAGAGGATCTCAAGGAGCCCAGCAGAGGTGCAGCGCCAGCAGGAAGAGGAAACTTCCCGTTCACGTCTCCTGACGGTTTTCTGTCCCGGGCGACCTCGGAAGTGGGGTCTCTGGACGCTCGTATTGCTGAGACCTTTTCCCTCCCCGTCCCCAGCGCCTGCCTGCGCCTTCCCTACCTGAGCGCTCTGCCCAGGGGCCGCCGCTTTTCATTAACAGTATCAGAGCAGCTGGTGGGAAAACCCAACGTTCTCATCCAGATCTGGTTGAGCTAAGAAGGTGAAAAAATGGTGTCAAAAAGATGATCGAAGTGGAAAGGAAAAGCATGAGCTAAATAAGACATTGAACAGGAAAGTGAAGTATGGGGCTTTTTGACTCCAAATTTTATGTTAAAAGATCAAATGTGACATAAACACATATGCGCATAATTTCCCCCTGAGCACTAGCTATTGAAAAACAACTTAGCACCTGAGAACTTTTCACTAAAAGCCTATGCTGATCTCTTCTCGCAGCGCCTCCCTCACCCCCTATGCACCAGGGACAGCTCTCCGCACAGTACTTTTTTTCCTCCCCCTTTTAGCTTCATAAACCCATGCCACGAGAAATCCTAATAAATTAGTTTCAGGAAGAATATAACCGATGCTCTATAAAGCTTGATCAACTGGCATTGGTTGATCGAGTAAAAACTGCCAAGCCCCGGAGCCCAGCCATTTATTTCCTCTTCATGCCGCTTATTTGCTTATTTAGTCAGTCATCTGAAACTACTCGCTGCCTGCCCGGGACGCGGGGATCCGCGCTCGCCCGTGAGCCCTTGGAGAGTTTCCTGCCTTGGACGAACGCAATGCCTCTCTTACGTAATAACCAAGCCTCACCAGAATGGACTGCTATCATCAGTCAAAGTCCTGTCGGTGATAAAATTCTCTCTAAGCTTCTACATAGAGTGTCAAAATAGTTTTAACACAGAACATGTGATAATCATTTCCTTGTAGAACAGCGAACTCACCGCACAAAGATGTTGAACTGATTATTGAAATCCACTGACATTGCGAAACCATAGTGAAATATACTATTGAACTAAAATATTGTTTCCTTGGTGGAAACAATAAATGTCCGGTGGCGTTAAGCTGCCGTGAATGGGGGATGGAGAATATCTGTCTTCAGACTTTTAGCGTTTTATGGGTACTAGATACTTAACTTTTTGGCATATAATAAGACAACCTCCACTATCTACGTCTCTGGGAATATTTTTAAAGAGACTGTCCGCAGGTGATGTATAAACGACACACCCGTGAAAGATTTGCATAACCAACAGGACCTGTTAATTGTTACTTTTCCGCCTCAGCTTTTTCTGGGTGTTTTCTGACTGGGACAGAGGCCACTCTCGGGACGCGGTGTACAGAGAAGGTGGGCAACAAGGGCCCAAAGAATGTGTTCTGCTGAGGAAGTTCAATGTACAGAAAACAGGGTATGATTCCTCCCCTTTGTTCTGATTTCTAAAACAACCTACTAGTTGTTTTTAAAAGAGCCTTTCAGCAAGAGAGTCAGAATGAGGAAACTAAGTTTAGTAAACCCGATCTAAAAGGAAAAAGAAAGAAAAGAAACTAGCTCTTTGATGTGTCTGGCATTGTTACTACAGTCTTAAAATAACTGCCAACCCCCTGGTCAGAAAAGAAAAACCTCAAGGATTAAGTAACTGTTTATTTCATGAGAATAATTACTTGTTTGACCTCAAGTCATTCATTCCTGAAAACACGAAGTTAAATTGTCGACAAGTTTTTAAACGCCCCAGCTTCTGTCTATATTGCTTGGATATCAAAAGCCTGATCCAGGTGGCCAGCGCCTCTCCATGGCTCTGAGCATCATTTCTCCAGGAGTGCAGCTTGGGAAGGTGCCTCCGGTGGAGGAGGGAGATCCGAGGCTTCCCCTCGGTGCAGATGTAAAGAGATGGTTAGCGACCCAAGCCACAGGTGGCTGCGTGGGCCGGACTCGGAACTCTTCCCCCTCTTCCCTCTGCCCCAGCAACGCGCAGCAGGGAAGCCCAGCGCCTTAGGTGCAGTTTGATGAAAAGGATGCGGGTTCCCCTAGCGTCCTGGCTGCAGAGCTGTCCCTGGGAACCTGCTAAATCCCCTCTAATGACACTTCTGGCCCTTTCCTCGCCGGCTGGGAATGAGTCTGCATCCCGGGGTCCCAGCCAGCGCGCCCTGCCCCGGGGTTGACCTGGGTACGGCCCGGGCGCGGGAGGGCGCGGCTCTGGGCCCCGCCGCCGCCTGCGGCACCTGCCGGGGCTCCGGGGTGCGGAGGGCGGGGAGCTTTAACTCCGCCCCGCACGGTCAGCCGGGGCGCCTCGCCCTGGCGGGAGACGCGGGCACCTGCGGCCTCCGAAGGCGGGGAGCCCCCGCGGTGGCGGAGGCCGGGGTCGGACCAGCCGGCCCTCCCGGGGTCCCAGGCCCTGGGAACAGGGAAACCGCGGCCTCTCCGCGCTCAGTTCTCACCGAGGCTGCTGGTTACTGTTTAACATCCCCACCCACGTTTCAGTTTGTTCAGTAAATCGATCGGACTCTGAGAGTCAGGCCGCTGTCTTGTCGCCATCCAGCAAAGCTAATATCCTCCCAGCATATGGTCTAAAGTCCCTGCTATAGATCGGGAACAACAAACAAACAAACAAACAACCGCCACATCCTTGAGCCTCCTCTCCCCGAACACGCAGCCCCACCCCCGCCCTGCACCTCCGCGCCTCCCGCCAACTTCCCAGGCTCCGCGAAGAGCGGCGGGGACGCGGCTGCCGGGGTGGGTGGGCGGCCCAGGCCGGCGATGCGGTGGCCGGTGTGCAGCTGACGGCGACGGGAGCGCCGGGAGCGGCTCCGCGCAGGTAAGTGTCACGGCTGCAGCCCCCGAGTCTCCCAGCCCCTCAGGCGGAGGGAGGTGGGGCGCCGCCCTGGAGGGGCGGAGCGGGCCCCCAGGCCTGTGGGGTTGAAAGCAGATGCCCCGAGGCCTCCCGCAGCCCCGCAGCCTGCAGAGCGAGAAGAAGAAAGGGCTGGAGGCCAGGCAGTGGGCCCCTCCGGGGCCACTCTGCCAGGACAAGAAAAAGGAAAGTTAGATTTGTTTGGAGAGAAAACTTTGATGCCCATCAGCAGGTCACGTGGCTGCCAGGTGTCTGGGGGCTTTGGTGACGTTTTTGTGGCTTGGGGCAAGGCTAGGGTATCTGGATGCCTGTGACAGTGGAGGTTCGAGAGGAGGGTCCTGGAGCATCACTGCAAGGCCTGGGCACCGGTCTCAGCTTCCCTCGGTTCTCTCGGAGACATTTTGAGAGTGGGCATCTTCCTGTGAGGATGCTGGAGAGATTATAGGAAAAACTGTGTGTGGGCACATATTTACCTACATGCACATAAACACATATATTTACCTACATATACATAAATATATATTTACCTACATGTATAAGTGTGTATATGCGTATCTATCTATAGATAGATAGATGATGGATAGATTTAACTATTGAATCCATTTAGCCTCCTTTAGGAAGAAATGTCCTTTGCAAACTTATTTAAAAACGTGCTAGTTAAGTGATCATCGTTACATCTCTAAGGGGATGAGCTAGCAGTGATAAGACTTTTGAACTGAATGTATAAGTTCTTCATACCTGATGTGTTGTGCTTCTGAGCCTTGCTCAAAACCACCCAAGGTTCCTGTTCAACATGTAGACGGTCTCCAGTTAGCTTTCAAATGAGGGCGAGAGCCAGAGGGTGCAGAGTACTGACACTCTCAACTTCACCACAGGCCCTGAAAATTAAACACCTGCCTCACTGATAGAAACGTTCCTCTTTTGGTTTTCTTACTTCACCCCAGTTTTCCACTCATTTTACATCTTTTTTCTCTCTTTGTACAAGCATTTATTTACCATTAAAATATTCTTCCTATCTATCACTATTTTTCTGCAATAATACCTCAGTCCCCACATTCCCACCACACCTCCACTGGTTTTCTCTCTGTGCATCCACTGCCAGTGTTTTTATTGTGCCTTTAAAGTCAGAAGCCAAGTGTGGGCTGGGATCCTCCCTGGTACCATTTTGGGGAGGGAGTGGAAGAGAGGGAGATGGCCAATAGTATTAACTACTCACTTTTCGCTCTTCCAGGTAGAGTGGGAATTAAGAGCTTTTGGTTCTCTTCTTCCATCCTTCCTAAGGTTCATTTATAGACCTAAAAATATGGAATTTTCCCCAACATGCTTTATGAAGGTAGTGCAACCTTCTCACTAAAGTGTGTCTGTTAACATCTCACAGGCATTTTATCCTGCATTTGTGATGCTAAGACTATAGGACAACACAAATTAACTTGGAAATTACTAAGACTTATCTTAATACCTGCATGTAAATAATACCTTTGTTTTTGAGTTCCATGTTTTTTTAAAATTCATGTTATTGATATGAATTTGAAAGGAATACTGGCTTATAAAGCAACATGAAAATTATAGTAGAATATAAAGTGAACCCTTCCTTGTTACACTCTGCACCACCATTGCTACTTGAGTTTCTGTCCCTCCATCTATACAACCACAGACTTTTTCTTTCATTACTTCAAAAACTTGAATAGTGGTTCATATTAGACCAGCATTCTGAAATTTAATTTTCTTTAGTAGTTTTCAAATATTTATTTGTCAATGCATGAAAAATTCTTTCTTTTTTAAGCGTATCTACCCAAAGAAGCCAGCCAATATCCTGAGAATGCTAGAATATTCACTTGGTTTTTCCAGTTTCTCACTATTACAAATCGTGATGCTGTCAATACCTGTGTACATTATCTTTGCATGGGTGTGCAGGCTGTTTATCCTAAGAGGGTGGCTGGCTCCAAGGGATGTTCATTTTAAATTTGGTAAATGTTGCAAAGAGCCTTCCTCAACAGCCACAGTATATTGATCATGCTCTTGCCAACAATGGGTAATAAGGATGTAAGATCTTGAGCATTTGATTGTTGGAAATTTTATTTCTCATTGTAGTTTAATATTTAGGAATTATATGAACCAGTCTTGGGACACCTGACTGGAGAGTTTGAGAATTTTGCTTTAAAAGTATAATAAAGTAGAAGGGGAATTAACTGCATTTCAAAAGGCTGTGATATTTGGAGCTTCTAAAAGCTGTCACTGCATTAGTCATCATCTATCCATTTACATACTGGCTGGAGGTCCTGGTACATGGTAAGTGAGAATGTCTATGTTGCGAACATATGACTACAGTGTGTCTATTAGTCAGTGTTCTAATTTTGTGGCTCTTGACTTATATTTTGCCACCTTCATAAAAAAAGATTCAATTCCCTGAGAATTAAAGCAGGGTTTTATTATTTATTTATTTATTATTTTAATTGTTGTTCAAGTACAGTTTTCTGTCTTTTACTCCCATCCCAGCTCACCCCACCAAGCCCTCATTTTTTCTCCCATTCCACCCCCACAGTTTTTTTCCCATGTGTCCTTTATACTTGTTCTTGTAAACCCTTCCCCTCTTCCCCTGAAATTCCCTCCCCTCTCCTCTCTGGACACTGTCAGCCTGTTCTCAATTTCAGTGTCTTTGGTTATATTTTGCTTGTTTGATTGTTTTGTTGTTTAGGTTCCTGTTAAAGGTGAGATCATATGATATTTGTCTTTCACCATCTGGCTTATTTTGCTTAGCATAATGCTTTCCAGTCCTGTTCATGCTGTGGCAAAGGGTAGGAGCTCCTTCTTTTTTTCTGCTGTGTGAAATTCCATTGGGTAAATATACCATAGTTTTGGGGTCCATTCATTTACAGATGGGCACCTAGGTTGCTTCCAAATCTTGGCTATTGTAAATTGTGCTGCTATGAACATTGGGATGTATAGGTTCTTTTGGATTGATGTTTCAGGGATCTTAGGGTATAATTCTAGCAGTGGAATTGCCAGGTCAAAAGGCAAATCCATTTTTAGTTTTCTGAGAAGATTACATACTGTTTTCCATAGTGGTTGTACCAGTCTGCAATCCCATCAACAGTGAACTAGGGTCCCCTTTTCTCACAACCTCTCCAACACTTGTTGTTTGTTGCTTTGTTTATGATGGCCATTCTGACCTGTGTAGATATCTCATTGTGGTTTTAATTTGCATCTCTCTGATAGCTAGCGATATTGAGCATCTTTTCATGTGTCTCTGGATTCTCTGTATATCCTCCGTGGAGAAGTGTCTGTGCAATCCTTTGCCCATTTTTAAATTGTGTTTCTTGTCTTCTTAGAGTGGAGTCATGTAAGTTCTTTGTATATTTTGGAGATTAAACCCTTGTCTGAGGTATCATTGGCAAATATGTTTTCCCATACAGTTAGTTCTCTTGTTATTTTAATACTGTTTTCTTTAGCTGTGCAGAAATTTCTTATTGTGATGAGATCCGATTTGTTTATTCTTTCCTTTATGTCCCTTACTCTAGGGGACATACTAGTAAAAATGTTGCTGTGTGAAATATCTGAGATTTTTCTGCCTATGATCACCTCTAGGACTTTAATGGGGTTATGGCTTATATTTAAGTCTTTTATTCACCTTGAATTTATTTTTGTGTATGGTGTAAGTTGGTGCTTGACTTTCATTTTTTTGCATGTAGCTGTCCAGTTCTCCCAACATCATTTGTTGAAGAGGCTATCTTTACTCCATTTTATGTTACTGCCCCTTTATCAAATATTAATTGACTGTAGAGGCTTGGGTTTATTTCTGGGCTCTCTGTTCTGTTCCACTGGTCCACGTGCCTGTTTTTATGCCAGTACCAGACTGTTTTGATTACAGTTTGGTATCAGGTATTGTGATCCCTTCTATTTTGCTCTTCTTTCTCAAAATTGCAGCAACTATTCAGGGTCCTTTATGGTTCCATATAAATTTTTGAAGTGTTTGATCTATGTCTGTGAAATATGCCATTGGTACTTTAATAGGTATTGCATCGAATCTGTAAATTGCTTTGGGTAGTATGGACATTTTGATGATGTTAATTCTTCCAATCCATGAACTAGGTATATGTTTCCATTTGTTTGTGTCTTCCTTGATTTCTTTCTTCAGTGTTGTGTAGTTTTCTGTATACAAGTCTTTTACCTTCTTGGTTAGGTTTATTCCTAGGCATTTTATTTTTCTTTTTGCTACATAGATGGGATATTTTTTCTTGTTTTTTTTTTCTGCTGTTTCATTGTTGGCATACAAAAACGTCTTTGATTTCTGGATATTGACTTTGTATCCTGCTGTTTTGCCAAATTTATTTATTAGGTTGAGCAGTTTGGGGGTAGAGTGTATAGGATTTTCTATGTACACTATCATGTCATCTGCAAACAGTGACAGTTTTGTTTCCTCCTTTCTGATTTGGATGCCTTTTATTTCCTTTTCTTGTCTGATTGCTGAGGCTAAAATTTCCAATACTATATTGAATAGAAGTGGTGAAAGTGGACATCCTTGTCTTGTTCCTGGTCTTAGTGGGAAGGCTTTTAGTTTTTGCCCATTGAGTATGATGTTGGCTGTAAGATTGTCATATATGGCCTTTATTATAAGAGGAATGCTCCCTCTATTCCCACTTTACTGAGTTTTTTTAATCATAAATGGGTGCTGTACCTTATCAAATGCTTTTTTCACATCTATAGATATGATCACATGATTTTTGTCTTTACTTTTGTTTATATGATGTATTACATTTACTGATTTGCAAATATTGAACCATCCTTGTATCCCTGGGATGAATCCCACTTAGTCATGGTGTATGCTCTTTTTAATGTATTGTTGAATGAGGTTTGCCAATATTTTGTTGAGGATTTTAGCATCTATGTTCATCGGCAATATTGGCCTCAAGTTTTCTTTCTTTGTTGTGTCTTTATCTGTTTTTGGGATTAGGATGATTTTGGCTTCA